CAAAAGACCCAGGAGATTTTTATAAGAAATAACATTATTCAAATAATAATTATTTGTAGTTGGGAGTCTGTCTGTCTCCCAACGTGTACCTTCCACACTCTATAAAGAGGTGGCTGTTGGATAGAAGTGGCAGCTTTCAACTCAATGGGGAAGAACTTTATAAAAGTAACCACTGGCATCTACTGGTAGAGTGAGCATCTCCTCATTTCTGACCGTCTTAGCCCAGTACATTGTTGAAATGAAGGACGTTGTAGAAGGTATTCTTGAATGGTCTGGGAGGTACTCACTGACTCTTAAGATTTTTTTTTTTAAAATATATTTTATTGATTTTTTACAGAGAGGAAGGGAGAGAGATAGAGAGTTAGAAACATCGATGAGAGAGAAACATCGATCAGCTGCCTCCTGCACATCTACTGGGGATGTGCCCGCAACCCAGGTACATGCCCCTGACCGGAATCGAACCCGGGACCCCTCAGTCCACAGGCCGATGCTCTATCCACTGAGCCAAACCGGTTTCGGCGAGATTTTATGAATTATAAGATGTAAACGCTTTGGAATGTAATACCTGTAAATTAGTAGGATTTTTGCTTTGGCTCTACACTGTGATGTTGCTACAAGAGGTTGGTAACAATTTGTCAGACTTTGACTTTGCTTTGACTTCACTTGCAAAATTCTGCAGTTTCTTGCCTATTATTGCCTTGATCTCCAATAAATCAGGGTAATTACATCCAAAAGACCCAGAAGATTTTTATAAGAAACAGAATTATTCAAATAATAATTATATGTAGCCAAGGTTCTTCAAGGACTTCTTGGCTTATTATTTTATATATTTTTTTGGCATGAAAATACGAACTCAACAACTTTCTTTACTTAGTGCGTACTAAAGGCAGGATCGCATAGTTAGAAGATCATTTGGCCAAATTAAGTTTGTCTTTTATCTCTTGACTGGCAAACACTCTTCGAGTAGGATTATGTATGATGTGGATAATTTTTACTCCCCTTAATTTTTAGTTTCCTTGCCTCTCATTCTGGTGCTCAGTGTAGCTTTGAAAACCCTTGTGCGTTTTGCAGTGAAAGGCCATGTTTGTAAAGGCTATGACTTAGATCTTATTTTAGTTCCTAACAGTGCCCTCTACTTCTCGTCCCTGAGATGAAAGAACAAAGCAATGTCAGCAACCTTGACTTGATTTATATGTAGGATAGTTCCTGTCATGCGAGGAGTAGCAAGTAAGCCCTTTTGTGAGGACACATTTAATAGAACCCAGTGGTTCTGGATCTGAAGGACAAATTTTATTGTATAGATTGGCTTTGAGCTATGCAGAAAGGTCACCCTGGGGATATCCTATCTGTCAATTTAGATTTGCTTGTGTTAGAGGGAATCAAAGTGATAGATGGAATGACTGGAAAAAACAAAACCAAATAGAAAAACCTAACCAAACAAAACATTTCAGTCCTTCGAATGCATGTAAAAGAAACCATTTGGCAATAGTGTTGGGAGCTTTTCTTGGAGCATATCTCCTGCATTTTAGATGAATAGCTGAGAAAAGAAATCATGTTTTTACTTTAGAAAGGAAGTAAAACCAGTGAAAAGGAGAGAGAAGCAAGATAGTAAAGGGCTAAACCATAGGGATATGTGTCTTTATATATTGACTAGAAGCCCGGTGCATGGATTCGTGCACTGGTGGGGTCCCTTGGCCTGGCCTGCGGGGATTGGGCTGAAACTGGCTCTCTGACATCCCCTGAGGGGCCCCAGATTGCAAGAGGGTGCAGACCAGGCCAAGAGACCCCACTGGTGCATGATTGGGGCTGGGGAGGGACCACAGGATGGCTCCAGGGCATGTCCGGCCCGTCTTGCCCAGTCCTGATCAGCTGGACCCCAGCAGCAAGCTAACCTACCGGTGGGAGCGTCTGCCCCCGGGTGCTCAGTGAGACTGGTCAAATGGTTGAACGAACGGTTGGACACTTAGCATATTAGGCTTTTATTATATAGGATATGTCATCTATGTGACTGTTACGACCAAACAACTGGTTAGCCAGTTGCTATATGTGCACTGACCACCACGGGGCAGATGCTCAACGCGCTTCCATAGTCAACCTCCAACCTCCCATGGCCAGCCAACCTTCCCCGATCCCTCCCCCCTGGCCAGCAAACCTCCTGCCGTCCCTTCTCCCATCCCTCCCCCTGTCCCACTGGCCCTGTCCGGCAGCAGGCAGGCCCTGTCTGGCAGCTGGCAGGCCCCTAGACCCTGGCTGGCAGCTGGCAGCCGGCAGCCCCCAGCCGGCCTGGATATGATCAGAACTGGGTGAGACAGCCCTGATAGGCCCTGATCGCCAGCCAGGCCTAGCATCCCCACCCATGCACGAATTTCGTGCACTGGACCTCTAGTAGCATAATAATAGTAATTTATACTTTCATTTGAAAAGATATTCAAATAATATTTTTTCACTTAATACACCTTGAATAATGATCTTTTCAAGGTAAAAATAGGTTTTAAAGAGTAAAAAAAATTTAAAAGTAAAGAAATTTATTTTGATTCCAATTAAACTATCAAAAATGTGCTACATTTAACAATGTGTACTCTGTCTTTTCAATCAACAATGTCATTAGGTTTTATATAAAACTCTCAACATTTACAGTAGTTTTTAATAGATGAATAAGTAATATATGATAGCTACTTGAAGACATGGATAGAGTAATCTTAGGACACTCAACACATAAGTTGTCTTTTTTCTCCTCATTTCAAATTGGTTATTATAATTTTCTGAATTGACTAGAAAAATGTTTCATGCTGTACACAAAATAATTAGTATGCATTCGTGTTTTTAATAATAGTCAACTTTGGAGTATGTAATTTTACTTAAATGCTTTCATAGATTATTAAATTTGTCATAAGTGTTTTTTTTTTTGGACTTTCTGAGTATTTCTCTTTGTTTTTAATATCAAACTTTGCTAAAGACACATGAAAGGATTATAAGTTTTGTGAGTATATTTGATGCGAATCATATTTGAAATTCACTATTTTGATTATGTGCCACATTTTTTAAAAAAAAATATATTTTATTGATTTTCCACAGAGAGGAAGGGAGAGAGACAGAGAGTCAGAAACATCGATGAGAGAGAAACATCGACCAGCCGCCTCCTGCACACCTCCCACCGGAGACGTGCCCGCAACCCAGGCACATGCCCCCGACCGGAACCGAACCTGGGACCCCCCAGTCCGCAGGCCGACACCCCATCCACTGAGCCAAACCGGTTTCGGCGATTATGTGCACATTTTTATGTTAAGTCACTGGGGACAACCTGTTGGCGGATTCCCATTATTCTCAAGAATACTTCAAATATCCATTTTTATAGTCAAAGAATTGTGAAGCGTAGTCATGTGGCACAACATCTGAAGAGCAGTAAGGCTTCTGGACTCTTCAGTATTTGTCTCTATTTAAAAAAAAACACCCAAATTATGTTACTAGTGTAACAATTAGGGTATGTCAAGATAAGAATCAATTAGGATAATTGTTTAGTTATAGGATGGTTGTGTGTGTGTGTGTGTGTGTGTGTGTGTGAATCTCTCTGCTGGGTATCAGGTGTACAGTGTGGAAGAGCCGTGGTGAAGCACTGAGCTTTTCACTGACACACTCAGAGAGAGATCATGATTCTCTTCGAATATATACGTAACACATTTATGGGTACAGGAAAAGGATCCAGTAGAGTGGGAGAGGTTGAAGAGCAAAGAGATGCTGATTTTATGGTGTCAGGCCAGTGGGAGTTGAAAAAAGCTAGGAAGAGAATAGGGGTAGACTCTCAGGGGAAGGAGCTGGGAGGAAACATGAGCCCTACCCTGAGATTCTGATATCTCTTGGGGGTTGGAGGCAGGGGTATAAGAAAAACACAGTTCTTTCCTCTAGAATCACTGAGATTCAGAGGAACCTTGAAGGGATTGATTCTGGATAAGAGAGATACCATGAAAATGTATGCTTATTCATTCATTCATTCATTTATCCATCCATTCATTCATCTATAAATCCATCATCAGTCCATTCATAGAGCCAATCAGCAAATTAAAGAGGAAACAATTATTCACCCTTATACCTACAATAATAAATAGAGAAACTAAAATGAAAGTACTATTCTCTATTTCTTTTTTTTTTTTTTAGTGTCTACTGGTATCATAGGGAATATCAGGATCCTTCCTAGGGGAAGATTCTTATGTTTTCCTAGCCTGCAAATATGAGAAATTATAGAAAAAAATGGGTAATAGCTAAGTGGGAAGATTTTTGCATTGATAGTAATACACATTTTTGTGGACTATACATTTATTTTTTTATTTTTTGAGAATTTATTATCTTTATTTTAAATATGATTTACTTAATTGTATAAGTACACATAAATTTTTAAATTACACTTATCAATGTCTTCTCAGAGCTGCTTCTTTTTTTTTATAACTATGCCAATTTATATTAGTTTCTTTTCTGTACAGGAAAGTAAATTGCCTCCAACTTTCTTCTCCAATCAAAATCCCCAAATAATACCCCAAACGAGTAGAGATGTGTCAGATGTCTTACAAAGTCCTACCTGGCTCCTCATCTGAGTCACCATTAATAAGAACAGGGAAACAATGGGCTCTGGCTGCCTCAGGGCCATGGTGTCATGGAAGTCAAAGGACTCGAGTACTGTGAGGTGTATCTCACCAGCTTGGCCATTCCTTTTCACTAAGACTCCTGATCAAATGCAAAGGCTCCAGGGCGGAGTCATTATTTTAGTCATGGATATGCTAGCACAGATTAATTGTTTAGAGGACCTGCGCTCAGACAGCACGACCTCCAAGAACACTTGGAGAATATCTCACTTCTCTGTCGGTGGACTTGACACCTTGGTCCTCGGAGGGCTACCGCTGATACTAGGAAGAAGGCCTGGAATCTCATGCACTCTCTGGTTTTCATTAGTGCCTTCCTTTAGAACATATTTTTTTAAATTAATAAATGTATTTTGTTTTTGTGCACAGGCAGCATGTCAGCTGAAGCACCAGTCACACTGAATATTGACCCCCAGGATCTGCAGGTCCAAACATTCACTGTAGAGAAGCTACTGGAGCCTCTTATAATCCAGGTATTAATTGCATGGAAATTACAACATAGAGTAACTGCAGAAGAACTTAAAAAATGTGGGAAAAATAGATAATGAACCAAGAGAAGCTTTGATTTTTATAAAATGAATGGCATCTAAAATTATCATTTAAAGTATTGTTAAAATGTAAAAAAGTCTGTATTTAGTAATAATAATAAAATTCTGAAAGCTCTCCCCCCTGATTTTCTTTTAAAAGCAACAGCAGTAATAATATGTATATGTAGTTTTCAAAGCACCTATATATGTAATATATTCTCTGGTTATATTGGAAAACATTCCAAAAGAAGTTCATGATCTTTAAATGGATAGTACCACTAGATAAAGCTATCAATTTAGTAGCCCCATTAGAAAAATTCTCACCTTTCCTCATTATTTATCTTCATTTTATATTCCTTTGCTTTTACGGTTTCACGGATATTACTTACCACCTCTGTGTATAACTCAAAGTCAAAATTACATTTTAATTTTTGGAATAATTGGTCACAATACTATTATGTTACTCTGACTTCTAAATTCATTTACTCGTAAATCTTTTTTCTGCTCTTCTTATAGTTACCAGAGCCTTCCCCGCCAAACTTGATTTACCTCTAATCTATTTTTTCCTTTCTGGGCACAGGTAAATCACGAGGTCCTTTTGCAGGAGTGCTCAGCCTGGGATAGCTCTCAATCATTCACTTTCAGTTTTTTCTGTGTGATAACTTACAGAGTTGCATCCCTCTGTAATACATTCCTCCAATGGATCAGAAATATTTTTCCTCAGCAATTACATTTTTATGATTGCAGCTGTAGACATCTGCACTTCATCACTTTCAAGAGCCAAGTTTGGCAATGCATTTATGCAGAATTACGATGAAAAGAATTTACATCTCTATGTTGTATACTCTCTGAAGGAGACATAAACTTCTAGATCGTGCTACAGTCATTACATAATGGAAATGTCTATAATCTTATTTGCCACAAAATATGATTTGCTATGTGTCAGATTCATGTTGAATATAAGCTAAAAGAATTGACTTACTCAAAATCCTTTAGGCTAAAAATAACAAACTCCTTAGAATATCTTATGTCCTATAAAGTGTTTTTTTTTTTTTTTGGGTGGGTGGGGTGGGGAAAGTTTCAAATGTATTTTCTGATGTAAATATATCCCATGTTTTCAGGAGATAAATAGAGAGTTATATCAATAGTAATAAACATTATTCCTCTGGCTCTCACCTCTAACTCTTATAGTTTCTGCTTAGAACAGGCACTCAGGGACCCATCCCAACATTTCTCTTACCCAGCTGTACGGGGTTAAGAGAACAGGATGAATCATACCAGGGCCATGAAAATGTTCACCTGGATGTGACATGTCAAAGCAAGTGATGTGGTCAGTGTGGATGCTGGATGTTTGATCCTGCCCTGTGCCCAGGGGATGGGTACATTACTGAACAGCCCCCATCGCCGTCACCTTCGCAAGGCCTTCATTTCAGGGGTTTCTTTTTTGCCACGTCTTCATTTGCTGTCAAGTCACCTTTCCACCCTGGTCACAGCTGATGTTATGGAGGGGGGCAGAGGGGGGGGCTGGGCACCTGGCTTATGGACACTCAGTTACAGGTTGGCAAGAAGCCTACGAGGCAGGAGAGCTGTGCCTCTGGGCGATAATGGTGAATTGGTCCTGTCACCATCCTCTTTGGGAAACTGACTCTATACCGAGAGCGAAAGCAGTTGGTACCAAGGGTTACAGTTTTATCATTGCAAATGCAAAGCTAAAAGATGCACAGAAGTAGAGACAGAGGGAGAGTCCTGGTGAAGCAATTTTCCAATTCAAGTCCCCTGAGTTTCTGCTGTTGAGGGACAATAAGATGAACTGGTCACCAAGGTTTCAATGGACGATTCCAATTTCCAAACCACAGTTTAATCTCAGAATTATGCTTCAGCCACTGTGGGGTTTCACAGTTTCCTTGAGCACCGGCCATGCTTGCTTTTTTTATGCAATCGGATTCCCTGGCTTCCTACCTCCTCATCGGTGGCTGGAAGTTCAGAAGAACTCCCATTGGCAGTAGCAATCCAGGTTCCTGTGACTGCCCTCCTTGTGCAAAGCCTCCAAATGTTGGGGTGTCAGAGGTATGACTGACCTGTGCTCCCAAACCAGTCTGCCTGCCAGGCTTTCCCATTTCACCCGGCTTCCTTTTGTTGATAGTGGACAGTAACGGCCAGTGATGCCCATTGTGAGGCTGAAAATGGACACGTCACCGTGTCTGTGCCCCAACTGCCTCCACAGCCGTGAATCCTCAAGGTGGTGAAAGGCACTCAGCTCCCCCAGGAGAGGGTAGAACGCCCCTCCTCCCAACTGTGCTTCACTCATCACCTGGGCCCCGTGAGCAATGCCTGCACCTCCAGGCCCACAACAGTCCTTAGGAAAACAGCCCCTTCCATCCCCTTTGGGCCCCTCCTCCTTAGAGTGAAATCCCGCCCTACTGGCTGGAGGGTGAGTAGTTAGTCCTTCTCCTTTTCTTCCCTCTGGCTCCCAGGCAGAACCTCTCTGTCACCCCACTCTCAGCATAGTTTCTTTCTCCCCTCCTTCAGCCGAGGGAAAAACCAAAACGAAAACAAAAGCAACCATGAATATAAATTTATGCACATATAGATGCCTAGATGCCCACAGGGTTCATTTCCTTCTGTTCTACAGACAGATCTGAGGGACTTTCAGGTAGCAGAAGAGGGCGTGCTCTGGCTTTCTAGCCTCCTAGATTATAATTTCCTGTGTTTCTTTCAGTAAAGGATTCAAGTTGCATTTGTTTGTGCTTTTCTCCCCTGTTGTTTCAGCAGGCCATTTTGAATGAGCATGATGGCATTTACTTAAACTTCCTTGGTTTTATCTCCAAGTTTCTTTTTTTTTTTTGGTAGCCTCTATAATTAATCGATTACTAGAATTTATATCAGAATTAATCTTGAAGGTTCCAAAGTCAAGTGTACACACATGTAGTATTCTTATAAATTATAAACAAATATTAGAATTTTGATTCTAACCTTAACAAATACCCTTAAAAGTTAGTAAATTAAATGTTTTTTTAACACTTATAGGCTCAAGACTCAATAAGTATGAAGATGTTATTTTTATGGTAGAATGAAGAAATAAATTTAATTCTACCTCAATAACATTTTAAACCTTCAGGTGACTCAGTATAGTTGAGTTGATTCCAATAAAGTGAATTCTTCTATTTGTGCATTCTTTTACTGCCTGAAAACTGCTCCATTGGGAAAGTTCTTAGGCTATAGTATTTCTTGAGAAACAGATAGCCGAGAAGGAAGCCACTCTTAAAATAAGGGTAAGAAAAATGAGTAGCTAATTGATTAAAATGGTGTGAGTCCCGCTG